AGGCCAGGAAGGTGACACTGGTGTGATGCTGTTGACAGAAGTGGAACATCACGGCTGACTGCCTTGGTATCTGAGATGCAGGAAGGAAGCAACACTGTTGTGATAGTGAGTCAGTAGGCATCTGGGCCTCTGCTCAGCCACGGCCCTGATACACCTGGCCTCAATACACCTGGCCCCTGGAGCGAGGGCGGGCAGTAAACAAGTCTAGAGGTGTGCTGGGTTCGAGGGGATAGTGCGGAGGACAACATGGGAGGGAGGGATTTATTTATGCATACAGAACTGGGGTACAGGGCAGAGGTGTGGGAGGGGTGAGAGGACTGCCCAGAGACAGCCACTGAAACGCTGCTGAGGGGTCAGCAGGGACACAGAGGTCTGCTGCGCCCTGTGGGTCCCCACCTGGCCGGGGATGGAACTCCTGCTGCAGTGGCTGCTGATGGCTTCGTAGTGCTGCGCCTTAACCCCTTGCGCCACCTGGGAGCCCCAGAGAGGGAGGTGATTTAAAGAGCGGGCTGGGAAGGCTTGCGGAGGCCATGATGGCAAAGAGCCTGAGGAGGCAAGGGTGGGACCCTGAACAGTGGGCTTGGGCGCCTGGCAAGCGAAGCTGAGCGGGGAGGCTGCTCCGAGGCTCAGAGTGGAGTGTGAGACCCGAAGGAGGTGGGGAAGGCCCTTCCTTGAAGAGAGGCCCATGGTCAGGGCAGTGGTCAGCCAGGGTGAGGCCATTAGCTGCCAGGGAACTGCGCCTGGCCTCCACAGGTGAGGTGAAAGCACAGCACGCGGGGCAGCCCCACAGATGTGTAAGCCTTTGGGGGACCCTGGGAAGAATCGCCGAAGCCAGCTTCCCAGGAACTGAGGCAAGTTCAGTGGCCCAGAGAGTGTTAGTCTGTGAGCTGACGTTCTCGGAGTTGCACTCGGAGGTCGCGCTGGACTGAAGTCAGGTGCTGGCAGGTTTCTGTTCTTTCTAGATTCTTGAAGGGAGAAGCAGTTCCTGTCCTTTTCCTGCTTCTAGACGCCCGCATTCCTTGGATGTGACCCCGGCCCAGGGTTCCTCGTGGTCACGCCTCCCTCTCACCAGCCGGAAGGGTCCCTGATTAAGGGTCCTTGGGACTCGGTTGGAGCCGCGGAAATCCAGGCTCCTCTCCCCATCCACTGAAGCGAGACCATGTCTGCTGAGTTCCTTTGACTCTGTGCTCACAGGTTCCGGGGTGTGGACATCTGTGGGGGGCTTGTATTTGAGATGGGGGGGTAGGTCATAGGAGGTGGAGGTGGGAAGTGACTTGGCCATTTCCGGGTCATTTCGTTTTTCCTTTTCATTACTTTCATTTCCAATGCTTTGAGGTCTCAAGGGAAGCTGCTCTTTCAGCTGATATTTTAGGGGAGCCGAGGCGGGCTAGGGGCTGCGGGAGGCTGACGGGAGGAGCAGTGTAAAGGCAGGTGGATGGAGAAGAGTTAAGCCGGAGTGGGAGGACTCAGCTGTGGAGGGAAGCGCTAAGGAAGCCTTCTCCGTGGTGACACTCAGAGAAGGGGAGGGAGGAGCAGGCTGTTCCCTGGACTAGCTTCCTGGGAGCAAGCGCACAGGCCCTGTGGCACGCTGCAGGAGGGGCTCTGGGGACAGCAGAAAGGCCAGTTGGGAGGTGAAGGTGAGGTGGGCCTGTCTTGAAAGCTCTGGCGAGCTGCCACTTAAGCCAGGATTCACACAGCCACTGGTGGCTCTGAGTGTTACTGAAGACCCAGTTGGCTCCATTTGTTTCTTGCTGTCCTGCTGCGCAGGCAGCAGAGCCGAGTATTGGTGACATATGACACTGGGCTGCCTAGACGGGCCTGAACACTTAGCTCCTGGCCCTCACAGCACTGAGAGGGCCAACCTTGCACTCAGCCATCTCTGAGTGCAAATCCTACACCCCAGCTGCGCCTTGGGGCACCTCCCCGCTCACAGGTGAGGTGACCTTGCTGGAGTTGCGCTGTGGGAGGAAGCCATCCCTGCACACGGCTGTGGGGCACTCGTGGAGTGAGATGGGCTGGAGGTAGAAGGCCCGTTTCAGATGCCACCGTGGAGAGACTCAGCGGTCTCAGCGAAGCGTCCCACCGTGTCGGGGTGACGTTCTGACAGCTCGAGTTCAGACTGTTCCAAGTACTCTCACATGCTGCTTGTTCCTTTCTTTAATGGAGCTAGAAAATGTTCCTTGCTATGGCTTGCGTTTGCGTTAGTTTCCACCCGAGGGTGCTGCTTCTAGATCATGCTCTGGCCTCGCATGGAGAACCTGCGTTCTGAAACGCTTCCCGTTAATGAGGAAGGGTGAGAAGTCACTCGCTCCCTGTCACACGCCTCGTAAGTGGGGAAGCTAGGAGTTAGCTTAGGGCGCTAGGTTGCGGGGTGCACACTTGGGGGCTGCCCTGCGGGATGGTCCGAGCCTGGAGCTGACGAGGGGAGGAGGCCGAGCCTGGGGTGTCATCCTGGTGTGACAGCCCTCCTGGCCTGACAGTCTTGTTGAATGGAAAGGGGGGAGAAGACGCACCCAGCGGGCGCTGCGGGTGAACGTGACTGATCTGCTGAAGACGGGGTGGCCGCTCCCACGGCCCTGTGCAGGGCAGACACTTGTGCTACATCCAGCCGTCACTCTTCGTAGGAGCCCAGGGCCTGCTGAGACTGAGCTGGGCACAAAGGTTGCCTTCCGAGAATTTAGAAAACAGCGGTCTCGGGCCCTGCCAGCACTCGGGGACCCACACTTTCCTGTGCCCCAGCTGCTTCCTGGCATGGGCACAGAGATGGCCCCGCCTCCTCAGTCTGCCCTGAGAATACAGGTGAGCACACTTGTGCAGTAGTACCTGGCTTTGCCTCGATGCCCGGAAAGCACACACTAAAGCACAGCTGGGTTTTATACACTTAAAAGTCGTCCTTATGACTTTTACTGTGCCCAGCGCTGTGTTGGGACAAGAGGAGCAGCCAACACGAGTGCTTGCTGTGTGCCAGACAGCTTCCGTTCTTAGCGGAGCATCCCAGCGATTCTGGGAGGCAGGAGCTGCTGCAGCACCTTGCAGTTGAGGGACCCGAGCACATGTCCATTCATTATGTCTAAAAATTTCAAATGTTTTCCAACTCACAATTCCCAAAATAGACGGGAAAGTTGTAGCATAGTCATACAGTGGAATATTACTCAGCAGTCAAAAAGACAAACACACCATTTGTGGCAACATGGATGGAGCTGGAAGGGATGGTGCTAGCTGAAACTAGAAGGAAAAGAGAAATACTGGCTGTCTCACTTAGTGTCGAATAGAGGAACCAAACAGAAGGTCCAGAAAAAGTCAGAGCTGGCATGGAACTGAGGGCCGTTCCTAGTGAGCAGGGAAGTGAGGAGTGAAGGATGTGTGGGGGGAGTTGCTTCACTGGGACAGTGAGGAGGGGAACAGTGTCTGAGGCCGAGGAAGCAAGTGCAGACCTGGGTTGAGTGTGGGTGGCTTTTATTTACTGTCAGGAGACCCTTGTCACTGGCCCCCAGGGAGCAAGTGCAGGGAAAATGAGACGAGCGGTAGACAGGCCGCAAGGCCTAGGGCCTTGGATAGCCCCTGGCTGGGGAGAGAAGGTCGACTCAGGTCGGCTGTAGCTATTCCTTGCGGGGCAGTGTTCCTGTCAGAGGCTGGGCTGTGTCTGAGGGCTGCTAGCTATGGAGGGCCTGGGGGTGACAGGCACACTCGCGGGCCCGGTGCAGGCGGGTCTCTTGTGGCCATGATCTCATCGGGACAGCAGCGCTGCCATACTGTGCCGGTGACCGCTCTGTCAGACCCAGCGGGCCGCCCTCAGCAAGTGAGGGTTTGTTTTCCGTCTCACAGGTTCGGTGGTGCGAGGCCTCGCAGACTCTCGGAGTCTGTCATGGTGCAGGCCCGCCTTGCCGCCTCGGGCTTGCTGCTGCGCCCGCCCCTGCTGCGGAGCTGACAGGCAGGGAGGCTCTTTCCTTCTCCCTGAATTTCTCTGCCCACTGGCTATGCCTGTCTAGAGCTAGGTCAAGTGTTGAGTTTTGCTTTAAACTTTTTTTTTGCTACTGAGTTTTGCTGCAAGTAATAGGAAACTTTAAAGGGCTTAAAGTTTACTGAAAATAAAAAGTCTAGTGGGCGCCCGAGCCAGCAGGCCACTCCAGTGGGTGCGCCCCAGGCTCCGACACACTGCCTGCCTGCCTGCCTGGCCTCCATCCGCCCTCCCCGACCCATGGTTACCTCAAGGCCCCCGAGATGGTTGCAAAAGCCCAGCCACTGTAGCCCCATTCCAGACAGGAAGAAAGGTATGACCCCGTCTCCCCTTAAGGACACTTGTAGAAGTCACCCGCTGACCAGATGTTAAGTCCCTGTCACTTCCAGGTGCAGGGGCGCCTCGGGGTTGGGTGGGTGCTGAGCACCTCTGAAACTAGGGGTTCCTGGCCAGAAGGTAGCCGGTGCAGGGGCACTCAGGGCGGGGCCCGCCGGGAATTCAGGGAAGGCCCTGCTTCAGGTGGGAGAAGGAACGCCTTGCTGTCCGCTGACCCCTCAGCTCAGCCCTCGCGGGGCTCCTTGGTCACGCAGTCACGAGCGCCCGACGGTCGGCGTGTCTCTCCAGGGGCAGCGGCTGCGAGCACGTCTTGTGCCCCTTGCAGCACCTCTTTCAAAGTTGCTCGTTGTCAGACCTGCTAAGGGAGTTGGTGGTGGACCCAGCCCCCCAAGTTGAAAGCCCGGAAGTCCTCAGCCAAGCGCCGGTGGCCGGGCTGCAGTTCTGAGCCTGCCACTGCGGCCCCTGAGGTTCCTTGGCCCTTGAGCCATTGTTTTCTGTCGTCAGAAGGCCGCATCCTGAATTTGCCTTGCGAGTGGTGGTGGGGTTCAGTGAGGTGAGGCGGGGGGCCCTAGCTCCGACCCGCCACGGTGCTGCCACGGAGACGCCGGCGGCTGCTCTGCTGACTGGGAGGCCGGGAGAGGCTGAGCGCGGGCAGTGCCCAGCTGCCCCTCCGCCTGGTGGGTGCCCGGACGGGCCGTGGGCGGGGCTGCAGGTGCAGGGCTCCTGGCACCGCCGCCTCGGGCTTGCGGGTCGCTGCTGGAACCGAGACCCCGACCGCTGCCGCCCCGCAGCGTAGAGTCCTCAGAGCTGCCGTGCCCTGGGGGCCCCGGGGGGGACCGCATCACTTCCTGCCTGCTGCCAGCTGTTTGGCGAGTCTGTGCGATCTGGGGGCTCCGGAGTGTGGCTGGGTCCAGCGCCGTCCCTCTCCACTCTGGACTTGCTCACCTCTCGCTCACTGTCTTTTGTCTCGTAGCTTCGCCTCAACAGCATCAAGAAGCTGTCCACCATTGCCCTGGCCCTCGGGGTGGAAAGGACCCGCAGCGAGCTCCTGCCCTTCCTCACAGGTCGGTGCCCCAGGGGCGGGTGGGGCCATGCGCCTCCTGCACCGGAGCAGCCTCCCTGGGGTTTCTCCATCGTTGCCTTTGTCTGTGGGTCCAGAGCCGGGCGGGCTGGCAGCGGCTGCAGTCCGGGCAGGATGGGGCCTGGAGCAGGCCCACTGAGGCGCACCTCCCGCACTGAAGCTGGGGTTTGGGGTGACCCTGCACTGGGCTGTTCTCGTGGTTTGCACCTACAAAGTGGGCGGTGGTCATGTAGCAGTGTGGACATGAGCCTGGACCAGCCACACGGATGGACACGCACTGCACGCCCAGCATGTGCGAGGTGGGCCCACTGCGTCCTGGTAACGTGGGTGCGGCGAGTGGGCCTCTCCACTGTCATCCCAGTCAGCCTGCGACTCGCCTCTGGTGCTCAGACTCCTGCCCAGGTCAGGCTGCGAGGCAACGAGGGGTCGGGGCTGGGCCGTTTGCCTACTCCCGAGCTCTGACCCCTCAGCGCTGGCCTGGACTCGTCCCACAGACTGGTCTGTGCGTCTGTGCTGCTTGCAGGCCCAGGCTCTGCTGCTTTGTCACCGACTTGGCGCCTCCATCCGCCTGGGCCGGCGGTCGAGGAACCTGGGGTGCGGGTGACAGTGCCCCGCGCGGGAGCCGCCGCGGAGAGCCGCAGCGCGCTGCCGAGTGAGGCCTGCAGGCTGGTGTCTGACTCAGCCTGCCCGCGGGACGGCAGTCCTGTGCCCGCCTCGTCACCATTTGCTCCCCTGTGGGGGGCGGCCAGAGGCGCTGTCCCTGTGCTGCCCCGCCTGGCGTGGGCCGGCAGGGAGGAGGTGTGGCTGGCCCTTCCGCTGGGGACATCGCTCACACCCAGTGGCCAAGCTGGCCCCAGGGCAGCAGGGATTGGGCCTTGCCTAAGCTTCTGAGTTGGAGTCCCGACAGCTTCCTCGGCCTTGGGAGGAGAGCAGAGCGTCGAGGAGAAGGGCTCCGGGGCTGGGCCCCAGGGTGGGGCTGTGCTCTGCACCCCTGCTTTCTCTCAGCGGCCTGGGAGGGCTGCTTCAGTCAGGGCCTGGGCACAGAGGGCCAGTCCTGGACTCGGGGTCATGGCCTGTTGTGGGGTCTCTATTGGTGGTGATGTGGGTGGGGTGTAAGCCCGCCCAGAGACCTGACTGGCTCGGGGGCATCCTGGAGGCTTCCAGGAAGTGGTAGCTGAGCTGAGGCTCAAGGCCCAGTGCAGGCTGTCTTCTCAGAGCAAAGAAAAGAGCAGACAGCCCATTGCTGAGGGGAGATGGCACCCCAGCAGCCTCGAGCCCTCACGATGGCCCTCGCTGAGGTGCCGCACGGCCTCCCAGGCGCTTACTGGCGGGTCCGTCATCCCGCCCAGCCTGAACGGTGATCTCTGCCAGCCCAGGGGGAGGTGGGCAGGCTGAATGCTGGCAATCTGGGAGGCGCCTCTCTTTGGGGCGACCGTGACCCAGCCTGTCTTGTCCACAGACACCATCTACGATGAGGATGAGGTCCTCTTGGCCCTGGCCGAGCAGCTGGGGGCCTTCACCACCCTGGTGGGCGGCCCCGAGTACGTGCACTGCCTGCTGGTGAGTCCGGGGGGCAGGGAGGCCCTATGCGCCCCTGGGGCAGGGCGGGGAGGGGACCGAGGTCACCTCCTGGGAGACGGCCTCGGGCCTTCTGGGCATGCAGCAAGTCAGCCGTGTCAGTGCTCTCGCCTCCCCTGCCAGTCACAGGCCCGGCACCCGCCTGGCCGTGCCAGCTCTACCTGCACCCCACTTGCAGCTGGGGAGTCATGCTGGGCGCCACACTTCATTTGCCGTGTGACTTGCCTCTCTGCTCCACCCTCCCGCCTGTGGAGCGAGCGGGGTCCAGCCTTCCCGCAGTGGCTAGGAGCCCGGGGCGCGCCAGGCCCGAGGCCCTCGCTGAGCACGGCTGCCCCCCCTCAGGGCTTGTCGCCCTCCACGAGCGCTGGATGAAGCCTCTCTCCAGCCACAGGCGGCGTTGGTCCTCCATGTGGGGGGGCGGTGTTCTTGACACCCCAGCCCCATGCCGCTGCCACCGGGGCCCTGGGCTGGGGCACAGAGGTGGTCAGGGGCTCCCAGGCTGCTGGCCGGAGGAGCCCGCGCAGGCGCCTTTCCTCGGGGGGGAGAGCCCTGGAGGCACCTTGATTTTCCCAGTTCTTGGGACGCAGCTCCCGGCCCGCCTCGGTCCCCGCAGACATGCTGGGTTCCCTGCTCCCGGGGCCGCCTTTCCTGTGGTGGCGCCTGCGTGCACAGCCTGCACAGCTTTGCGGTGGGCTTGCCCCTCTGGGGTGTTGTTGGCGGGGCTGCTTCCAGCGGTGGCCGCCTGGGCGCGGCATGTAGGGTCCCAGACAGCCTCAGGTCCCAGGAATGTGAGAGTTGCCATGAAGCCGTGGCGCCTCGGCTTCTCTGCGCGGATGTGATGGTGGTTTCCACTGAGGCCGAGTGCGTGTGACCTGGCACAGCCGGGCTGTGTAACGGGGGCAGGGCGAGGCGCGGCCGACCTGCAGGGCCTCTGCGGCCCCGGCACTGGCCAGCTTTGCTGAGGAGACTGTAGCCTCCAGCAACTTCTCAAGCTCCTCTCAGGACGGCTAAATGGGCTGTCCGGGGAGGGCATGCGCAAGGAAAGCTGGGGGGCTCCTCGGAGGAGGCGCCCCGGAGCGTGAGTGGTGACCGGCGTTGTGTGCTGCAGCCGCCCCTGGAGTCGCTGGCCACAGTGGAAGAGACAGTGGTGCGGGACAAGGCCGTGGAGTCCCTGCGGGCCATCTCGCACGAGCACTCGCCCTCCGACCTCGAGGCCCACTTCGTGCCGCTGGTGAAGCGGCTGGCGGGCGGCGACTGGTTCACCTCCCGCACGTCGGCCTGCGGCCTCTTCTCTGTCTGCTACCCCCGCGTGTCCAGTGCTGTCAAGGCCGAGCTGCGACAGTGAGTCCCGGCTCTGGTCCCTGAGTGGTCTTGGCCCCCAGCCTCCCCTCCAGTTAGGGGTCCCCTGAGTCCCCCGCCCTGGCGGACTGGCCTGGTGTCAACCTGGCTGGCTCACGTAGGGCGTGGAGTTGACTGCTCCCTCCTTGGGGCTGTGAGGGTGTAACGGAGGCTCCCTGCCGAGGGGGTTGGGGGGCGCAGGTCCCTAGAAGTGCAGTGGCTCCTCCGCCAGCCCCCCTTTGGCAAGACGCCCCCAGTTTCTTGTAGGTGCGAATTGCCTTGCAGAGAAAGAATGAAAACATTTGCAGTGGATTAAAGCTTCCCGTTGACACACCATCTTTCCCTCTGGGCTTTGTCCCCCTCCCGCGGCACAGCCACGCGGGCTCTCCTGCCAGCCTGGCTCCTGCTGCCCTCGGCTGGGAGGCACCTGAGCGGGTGCTGACCAGCGGCCTCCACCCAGGCTGGGTGCCCGCCTCGCCGAGGGGCCATCCACGCCCTGCTCACTGGGGCTTGGCACGCACGGCCTCCTTTAAGCCTCACGGTGACCCTGGGGTGGGGCGACTTCGTATCAGCTCTGTTTGTAGCCTGGGGAGATCCTTGCTCACTGCCGTGGAGCCCCAGAGAGCCTCCTTCTGTGCCCCCTCCCACCAGGTACTTCCGGAACCTGTGCTCAGATGACACCCCCATGGTGCGGCGGGCCGCAGCCTCCAAGCTGGGGGAGTTCGCCAAGGTGCTGGAGCTGGACAACGTCAAGAGCGAGATCATCCCCATGTTCTCCAACCTGGCCTCCGACGAGCAGGTGGGCTGCGGCCCTCCCCTCCCTGTGCTGGGCCCCGCGTCCCCGAGGGAGGGGCCGCTGCTCACCGGGCCTGTGCCCCCAGGACTCAGTGCGGCTGCTGGCAGTGGAGGCATGCGTGAACATCGCCCAGCTCCTGCCCCAGGAGGACCTGGAGGCCCTGGTGATGCCCACCTTGCGCCAGGCTGCAGAGGACAAGTCCTGGCGCGTCCGATACATGGTGGCCGACAAGTTCACAGAGGTGAGTCCGCTGACAGCCTGTTGCAGTGGAGGAGACAGGCCCTGAAGGGGCGGCGGTCAGCCCAGTGGAGGCATGGGGCCGTGAGCAGCGGGTCTCTGAGGGTGCGTGCCACCGAGGTCTGGGCTGAGGGCGAATGTCGTGGGCAGCGCGTGTCCCAGCCGGAGCAGCTGCCCCTTCAGGAGGGCAGGAGTGCGCTGGTGTGTGGAGTGGCCACAGGAAGGAGCCTTACTCCCCGCTGTTCTGGAGGCGAGAAGGCAAAAACAGGTCTGAGCAAATGGCCCCCCCGCCCCCCTCCTGAGTTGTCGACGCGTCTCCTCCCCGTCCTGACGAGGTCTTGGTGCTCGTCTCCTCCTTGGGGTTCACTGGTGATCTGGGTCAACCTCCCTGGTGACTTTTCCCCCAGTCACCTCTTCAGTCATGCCTAGGGTACTGGGGTGAGGACTGCATGGATTTGGGGGTGGAGTAGGGACCCTCTTCAGTCTGTGGCTGTTTGCTAGGAAGACCTCGGGGCCCCAGACGGCTGCCCAGGACCCCTGTGCCCCGTGGGAACGTCGGCTTCGCCCGGCCCGGCCTTGGGGCATCAGGCCCACACACTGGGCTTCGGAGTGGGAGCCCCCCGGCGGGGCTGCTGGGCAGCGGCAGTGCCCGGCCGCAGGAGACCGAGCATCTGTCGCCTCTGCCCAGGCCGGTTGCGCCTCACTAGGTCTTCACGCGTGGGTCCCTGCTCAGCCGCCAGCGCCCCTCGTCCTGCCAGGTCTTCTAGAGCCGGCTCTGGTGGAGCCCCGGCCTCCCCGCCCGCTGCCTGGAGACAACTGGGCCTGCCGGCCTTCTTCCCGTTAGTCTGTTTTACTGTAGTCACAGAAGTCACACTCACTCTGGTAACCCTTACCATACAGACGCACATAACGCAAAAGGTTGGCAGGTCTCGGGTTGGGTCACTGCGAACCCTAGCTGGCCTGGTCAGCAAGGCCATCTCCACTTCTACTGCAGACCACCGCGCTGTGTGGCCGGCACCCTCAGGCGCCTCGCTGTACCTGTCCTGGTCACAGGAACACAGCCAGGCGCTCAGGCCGTCCCCTGCTCCGGCCCTGAAGTGCTCAGCGCCAGCCGGCCCTGCCCAGCGAGGACAGTGGGGCACGGAGGCTCTGAGCCTGGGCCTTGGCGCGGGGTCGATCCCACTGCAAAGGCCGAGTTTCGGGCCAGCGTCGGAGCCCGTGACTTGGAGTTTGGTCTCCAAGGAACTTGGAGTTCCTCTCGACCTTCTCATCTCTCTTGTCTTCCCACCTGCAGCTCCAGAAAGCAGTGGGGCCCGAGATCACCAAAACAGACCTGGTCCCCGCCTTCCAGAACCTGATGAAGGACTGTGAGGCCGAGGTGAGGGCCGCAGCCTCCCACAAGGTCAAAGGTTGGTGCTGGCGGCCAGAACACAGCGAATGGGTGGGTGTCTGGGCAGTCACAGCAGCAGGCATGGGGTCTCACCTCCTCCTGGCCCGTCTCTGCCCCAGAATTCTGTGAAAACCTCTCAGCCGACTGTCGGGAGAATGTGATCATGACCCAGATCTTGCCCTGCATCAAGGTAATGGGGCGTTGGGCAGAGCAACAGCAGCCCCGCGTCTGCTGAAAAGAAGGGGTGGAGGTGGGCGTGGGCGGTCAGCCACAGGCCTCCGAGTGCCCAGCCTTCCGGGACGAGATGGTCTTGGGTTTGAAGCCGTAGGACCAGGCATGGGGGTGAAGTCTGAGACTCAGGACTGAGCGTGCAGGCAGGCGCACTTCCTTCCCGGGGAGCTTTGGGGTGGGTGCTGGGGGCAGGGCGGTGTTGCTGGAAGCAGGCTGGACCCTCAGAGCCCAGCTCCCCTGGGCGCTGACCTGCGGGCGGGCCAAGCCAGCCGTCCTGGGAGCTGCCAAGGCGTTGGCGTCCACCGGCGTCCGACCCCAGCGGCCCCCTTCCCCCCCCCCCAGGAGCTGGTGTCAGATGCCAACCAGCACGTCAAGTCAGCCCTGGCATCGGTCATCATGGGCCTCTCCCCCATCCTGGGCAAGGACAACACCATCGAGCACCTGCTGCCCCTCTTCCTGGCTCAGCTGAAGGACGAGGTAGGCTGCCCTGTCAGGCCCCCCGCGGCGCTGCGCCCTTCCGCTGACACCTGGGCCCCCACGTGCTGCGCGCCGTGGCAGGTGGGCCCACGCTTGTGTCTTCGCCCACTGGAGTCGTTTTGCCTGGCTGCCCTGTGCTGGTGCTGTCCTGGGCGTTAGGGACACCCGAGAACAAGCGGACGGGTTTGGTCCTCGAGATGGGGCTGAGGGGTTCCGTGGTCCAGCAGGCATCATGTGCGTCGGGGGGGTGTGGTGTGCGCTCAGCTTCAGGCCAGCGCTGCACCGCAGACCCCAGAGCCACGGGCTGTCGAGAGCCCTCTCCTCACGGCAGCCCAGGGGTGCCTGGGCCTGCGCTGGGGCTGGCTCCTGCTGGCGGCAGCGCCCGCGGTCTCAGTTCTCCCAGCTCTGGGCACAGCGCCGGCCTCGTCCTCCCAGCCAGACCCAAGGAGGGTGCCCCCACCCCGAGCTCCCCCCTCCAGGGTTGGTCACATGACCACGCCTGTGTTCAGTGTGGGAGAAGCTCGGGCCGTGGTGCCTGGGGGTGGGGGCCCAGGACGGGGGGGCAGACGGCGAGCGTGCTCCTGCCCGACCTGGGTCGCCGAGTGCTGGCCCTTCAGATCCCCACGCCCCCCGCAGTGCCCGGAGGTGCGGCTCAACATCATCTCCAACCTGGACTGCGTGAACGAGGTGATCGGCATCCGGCAGCTGTCGCAGTCGCTGCTCCCCGCCATAGTGGAGCTGGCCGAGGACGCCAAGTGGCGGGTGCGGCTGGCCATCATCGAGTACATGCCCCTGCTGGCCGGTCAGCTGGTGAGCGCGGGGGGCTGCGAGCGTGCGTGCGGTGACTGGCTGGGGGGCTGTGTGGGAGGGGCGGGGAACAGGGCCTGGGAAACAGTGGTGCTGAAGGAGGAAGTGGGAGGAGAGCCCCCTGGGGTAGCTGGGCGCCCCTAGAAACTCCTCCCTGGTTCTCTCCTGCAGGGGGTGGAGTTCTTTGATGAGAAGCTCAACTCCTTGTGCATGGCCTGGCTGGTGGATCATGGTGAGTGCCCCGGCGGCGGGAGGGCGGAGCTCCCCGCCCTCTAGCGCCTTGGGAACGTGCAGCCGGGGGATGAAGCGGGGCCCGACGCCGCCTCCGGCTGGGTGCAACAGGCCCGGCTCAGCGATGAGCTCACCGTCATGCTGAGTCGCGGGCCTTGTCAGCTGTCTCCTTAGCAGACAGGCCTGTGGTTTCGTGGAGTGGGGTCAAGTGGATGGGGAGTCAGTGCCAGGTGCCCTGCCAAGCAGAGTCAGGGGCTTCTGGAGTCCCCAGCTCCTCTGGAACGAGCCAGTGTCCATGTGGGATGTCAAGGAGACACTCACGGGGAGCCCCCGTGGGGTTCGCTGGCCTGGCCCAGGGCCGTGGCAGGTGCCGAGGGTACATGCGGCCCCACTGCGTCGCCTTCACACCCTCCTCCCTCCCCGCAGTCTACGCCATCCGCGAGGCGGCCACCAGCAACCTGAAGAAGCTGGTGGAGAAGTTTGGGAAGGAGTGGGCCCACGCCACTATCATCCCCAAAGTCTTGGCCATGTCTGGGGACCCCAACTACCTGCATCGCATGACCACACTCTTCTGCATCAACGTGAGCAGCCCGCCGGCCCCTGGGAAACAGCCCCCGGGAGAGGGGGGTGGCGGAGAGACCGGCCGAGGAGCAGGACGTTGTGGGCCGTGGGGTCGCAGGCCGCACCCCTGGGGACTCAGGCCCAGCGGTCGGTGCTGTCAGCTCATTGGGCTCTGGGGGTGCTGCCTGTGTGGCGGGGACCCAGGGCTGAGGAGAAGCAATGGCACGGGGTGCCTGCTCCCACGTGCGGCGCGTGTGTTTGTGGGTGACAGCCGAGCGAGCAGGCCTGCGTGCCGAGCTCGCGCTCTGCGATGCCAGCTGCAGCCGTGGTGGGTGAGCCGGGAGGTCCTGCGGCTGCCTGACCTGGAATCTGGCCGTTGCAGTGCTGCTGCCCCATGCAGCGAGGGTCAGCCTGCTTCTGGGACAGTGAATGTCACGTGCCCGAATGTGCCTGTTAGCCCCTTGAAATGCTCCTGTGACTGAAAGTTAAAGGACAGCATTTAAAATCCAGTGTAGCTGAGAGCTCTGATCCGTGCTGCCCAGGCCCCGCGGGGACGCTGGGGAGCGGGAGCTAAGTCCCACCCCCCAAAGGTGAAGGGAGGGCTGTGGACGGGCGGGGGCGGGGACAGGCAGACGTGCCTTGGGGTGGTGCTGCGGGGGGCGGGGCTCAGTGCCCTGCCTGAGTGGCCCCGCCTCCCCGCAGGCCTGAGGGCGGGTGGTCACCGTGTGCTGCCCCGGCCCCCAGGTGCTCTCCGAGGTCTGCGGGCAGGACATCACCACCAAGCACATGCTGCCCACTGTCCTGCGAATGGCCGGGGACCCTGTCGCCAACGTCCGCTTTAACGTGGCCAAGTCCCTGCAGAAGATCGGGCCCATCCTGGACAACAGGTGAGGGCGGACCGTCGCTTTCAGCAGGCCCCGTCTGCGCTTCGCCAGAGGCCTCGGGGTGAGGCTGGCACTGCCCTGGGCCTGCGGGTGCTTGTGGCCTCCTCCAGGCCTTGGTGCCTGAGCTCGGGTTGGGGAGGCCGCGAGGCTGCCCTCACGCTGGGGAGTGCTCGGAGGTGGCGTGTGCGCACAGGCTCGTGTGTGTGATTCGCGAGTGCACAGTCACCGACCGCCCCGGGTAAGTGGAGTGAGAACCCTCACCTCTAGTGAGAGCCATAAAGTTTGCTTTGAGAAATGAAAGCTGCGTGGTATTGCCGGATGGCTGAAGACCAGCCCGGCGCGGCAGGTTCCTTAATGGAAACTGCAAGCTGAGTCTGGAATGAACATGACGTGCAAAGGTCCGAAGCAGCTAAGATGGCTCTGAAGAGCGAAGGAAGACTTTCGCCACTGGTGCTGCGGCGAGAGGAAAGTGGGTGCCGGCCCGACAGAGCCAGCTGACGCGGGGGGCAAGAAATGGGCCCCGTCTGCAGCCAGAGTCCGCAGAGTGGGGAGGTCTGCGTCCTCAGAGGCACGAGCCTCCCGCCTCGGGCACGGACACAGCGGGGGTGAGAGAACAGGGACAGTTCTAGAAGGAAATGCGGGAAGGTGCGCTCAGATTTACAGTGGACACAGCCACCAGGGCGCCCAGTTGGTTTTCAGAACACCGAAGACCTTCGTCCGGAGACCGTGCTGGAGAGTGGCCCGGCCCAGGAGCGCAGGCCGTGCTCCCGCCTGAGGCTCTCGCGGCCGCCGC